ACTTATTAGAAAGTCGTCATTTTCCACTATGGGATTCGAAGGCGTAAAATTTTAAGCGAGTTCCAGTTTGTATTCCTTTTGCTTCTCTCTAGAGTTTGTCTTTTTCACCTGGGCTAGAATTTTCAACAATTATACATGGAATGTTTGGCTAGGTATCTACACATATCAAATAAATGGTTTCTATTTTTCCTATAAAAATTAAATAATTATCATCTTAAATACATCACCATAAAGGAATTAGGCCTCAACTATGCAAATTACAGTTTGGTATCTAGACTTAATAGATTTTTAGATTTATAACCTAAATTTACTTTTTTGGCGTATAAGTCCTCAAAATATTGATGGAACATTACATTTGAGTACCTAAAAATTTAATGTATTACATTTTGGTACCTAAACTTTTGAAGTTCTACAAGTAGGTCTAATTTTTGTATGTGTAATTAAAACACTCTCGGATAAATGGGTATCCATACCCAACTCATACACATTTAGATTATGGAAGTAAGTATTCATACCCTACTCAAACCCATTTACAAACTTCCAAACCCATATATACGTCACTCATACCCTACCCTACCTATAATCAATGGGTCTACTTGGGTTTAGGCAAATATAATTTATTAGCCAAAATTTTAAAAAAAAAAATTATGTTGACTTCCATATATCTCTTATCAATCAATATCATATTGTCTAGTCAATATTACTAACAAAACTAGGGGTGACCGTTCGGTTACTGGTTAACCGATAACCAAAGTAATCGAATTTCAGTCGATTATCGGAGGCTGGACGAAATGGTTTTTGGTCTTAAAAGTGGTTCGGTTAACCGATAACCGAGATAACTGAGAAACCGAAGCATATTTCGGTCGGTTTTCGGTAGAGGGGGTGGTTATTTCGGTTAATCGATAACCGACCGATCGGTTATCGGTTATAACCGAAATAACCGAACTACCACCCCTAAACAAAACTGCCAACAAAAAATTAATTTTAGACTAATAAGACTAACTAAACACCATAACGAATCACATAATACAGGACCATAGGCCATCTTCGCTCTGCGATAAGGCGCGACATCGCCACCTAGTATATATATACGGACTACCGCGGATGGTGTATTAACAAGTCAATGGAATACTCCATAGAAAAATTTAAACCATACCGATACTGAGTATCAACATGTATGTATTAACCAATACCAAGCTTTACCAGAGCTTTACCTAGCAAACTCACAACCAACTAATCCAGGATTTGAGTGCTCTTCTTCTTCTTCTTCTTCATGAGCAACAAGTACCGAGCTGTAGTATTACTCTTTTATCATTAATGGATACTTTTTTTTATAATCTTAATGGATACTTTAGTTGCCACATAGTTGGGAATTGGTAATTATTATCTCTTTTTTAAGTGGTTATTTGTTAATTAATCCCCGGCGCTTACCATGATCAAGTAGCTAGCTAGCTAGCTAGCTAGGCATCGTAATTAATGCACAGCAGCTAGATGCCTCATCTCCTCGGGATCGCTTTCTCTGAGTTTTTATTGTTTACCCTACACATACACATACACATACACATGCTCTCATGTTCTAATGATTCAACATTGTGAAAGTACATCACAACAAAGTGTAAAAATGTAGATAGATAACTAATCGTTAATTAATGCATGTTTTTTGAGATCTTAAGCACATGCGGTCATTATATATTTGCTTGTTAATCACTCTTTTTTACTTGCCGTTACGGTTTTACTCATGGGTGTCCTCCCAAAAAGACCTTGTACTAATAAGTTTGGTGGACACTAATATAAGGGTTCCTTCCCTTGTATTACCGATGTGATACTTGGATTGTCCTCATAACAATACTCCCCTAAAGCCAAGAACCACGAACTTCGTGTCCTCACCTCAACTATTATCTTGATCCGCCATACATCTTGTATCGATGGGCTTCTCGATACACAAATTTTTTCAGACGCAAAATTCACTTCGAGATTTAAATGAGATTTACTCTTAATTTCGTGGAGGCTATTGGCCGGTGCGCGAGATACAAAAGAGAAAGAAAGGGAATTATTGGAGAAGAGGTGATAAGTGAAGTGTGGGTGTTAATTTGAGGGCCGGAATTTTTTGGTCTCATTATTATTGATCATCGCCATGTAGAGAAAAGAGCGAAAAGAGCTTACTACAAGAAAGGAAGTATACATAATTTAATTATAGGTAAGGGGCCTTCCATTATTTAACCCTATTCGAAGACCATAATCATCATGAATGAATGTGATGATTGTAATGACTTTTGATATTTAATTCACCCTTAATTGTAAGTGGCGCATTCTTCTTCTCTTCAACCAAATGTCTACATGATTGGCGTAAAAGTGAACCCAAATATAAAACTTACAAAAGCAAGAAAATTAAAGGGGAAATCATAATTTGGTGCTGAAAATGACTTTAGATACTTTTCGAGTTTTTAACTAATTAGTGATAATTAATGACTTCACGGAATTACAGGTTAGCTAGGTATGCAAATGAGCCAACCCGCTAGCGAGCAATTCGGCGTTCAAATTGTAAAAATTCGTTCTATACTCGGTTTGTTATTTAACAAGTCGACTTGTGAGCTGATTCGTTAGTGAACGACTCAAACTCAAACTAAACAAAAAAAAAAAAAAACTCGACTTGACTCGTTTACAACCCTAGGTAGGATATCTTGAGATTATGAGTATCCAGAGTGGGTTCACCTTAATTTGCTCTCCTTCCATGGGGTTTTGGGATTGTAGATGGGACGAACACCACTTTGTGGATGGGTCACATTCAAGTGATTGCCTATGGAAAAGGGGAAGGGTTAAAAGAGAGAAATAGAAAAGTTGATGAAAGCTTTAAATTCTCTTTGTTGTGTGTGTTTGTGCTCATTCGAGAAATGTGTGATGTATATACAACCCCCTTGAACATTCATTGTAATGTAACATTTCCTTTCCTTAGCTTCCTTTCTTTCCTTTCATAAGATTATATATATTATTGATGCTTTTCCTTTTGTTCAGTAAATTGAAAAAATAAAAGGCGTAAATGGCCCTTACACTGTACAGACAGATACAATTTACTGCTCATTTAGACTGTAAATTACTGTAGCAGCTTGGCGTGGGACTGCATGTGTGCTGGTGCTTCGTGTTCCCCGGTTGCTTTTGCGTGGTCTTCGGTAGCCTCTTGGTCGCTGCCTCTGTGACTGGATCATTGTTGGATGGGCACCTGTCCGTTTGCCGGTTTGGGTTTCATCTTTGACGGTTGTGGCGTTGTTGTGGGTAGCCTTGGGGTTCCCGTTTCTGTACACGTGTTGTTGATCTAGGTACCTGAGGTTTTGGGCCTGGCGTTGAGCGTGGAGTTTCTGGAGCTATTGTTGTGCTGTGTCAGGGAAGAAAGAGTGGGTATTTGGATGGGATATTGAGTGGGAAATCTTACCTTTTTTCTCTGGTGTGCATACGTTGGTCATCAAGTGCCTAAGAGCTATGGATGGGATTTCTCTCTCGGGTTTGCATACGTTGGTCATCAAGTGCCTAAGAGCTATGGATGGGATTTCCCCCTCTGGTGAATTCGTTTCCCATCAAGTGCCTACGAGCTATAGATGGGATATATGAGAGAAGGAGGGATGTGGATCTTTGTTTCTATCCAAGGTGAGATTAAAATATTTTGTTGCCATGCATATATGGGGTTAGGCAAGAGGCGTTGGCCCTTTTCCCGCCCATACACGTTTCTACTTTTGTCAGGTTGCCTCGATTTTCTATAACGTTAGTCGATTATGTAGCTATGGGCGATTGGTTGTTTGTTTCTAGGGAGATATATATTCTTGGTCTTTATTATACGTTGTTTTTTCCCTGTGCTCTGTCCTTTCTTTTTCTTTCATCATCTGTGCTCTCTTATTTTTCTCGGTGGTCTCCGTTTTCCCTCTGAACTCGCCGCTCTGGTTTTTGTTCTAAGCTTGGTGGCACTCATGGACTCTACGCTGCTGTGTAATCTCAGAGGGGGTAGTAGGAATGTTACCTTGCGCCTTAGGTTGCTTCATATGTGGCTTGCCAAGACTCCGTCTGGATCAAGGATCTTCAACCATTGTTGTCTGTGGGTTGATCAAACGGTACACCTTTTTAGATCCACTGCGTTGTTCCATTTTGCTGTGTGTTTTCCAGTGTTTGTTGAGTTGTTGATCGATTTTGGTTTGTTTTCTTGCACCATGTCATTTATAATGTTTAAGTTTGTGTGTGTCTTATCCTTTTCTTGCCGAAGTAATCAGGTTGTGTTGTTATTTATTTTTTCAATTTTTTTTTGGATTTTAATTTCTTTTCTTGGGGTGCCTCTGTTTTGTAGGGTATGCTTATTCAGTCTTTATCGGATCCTGATATGGCCAAAGATACTGAGCGTGCTCTTCGCGTTGGGACCATTTATGTCATCAGCAAATTTGGCCTTCATCAAGCAAGAGGACTCTATCGATCTTGCTCTTTTGACTTGACCATGCACGTGACCAGGTCAACAGGTTTTCAGGCATGCACTCTTCCAGTTGCTGGTTTCCCCACTGAATCCTTTGAGATCATGCCGTTTGACCAGCTGCATACCAGGAATGGAAATCATGCCATTCTTACAGGTATGAGTCTTGGTCTATGTGTTCTGACCTTACATTTTGCATGGTGTGGACTGCTGCTCTTATTTGATTTCGGCCTGGTTGCTCATGATTGTGTATCTTTGCCACAGATGTTATTGGTCGTCTTCATGCTATCAGTGGAATTGGTCATCAGATTACTGAGTTTGGATCAACACCCAAGCAAAACTTGGTTCTTGAGAATGATCGGTGCGTGTGTTTCAGTGTAATGTTGACGACATGTATTGTTGTGTATGCCTGATTGTTTTCCCTTTTGTGTATAGAGGTGAGACCTTCACTGTCACACTATGGAATGAGCTGGCCACACTTCTCGATCCTGCTGCTCTAATCCAGGCGGATCTTATTGAGCCAGTGATAATTGCTATTGGGGGTCTGATGATATCTATGGTCAATGGTGTGTCTTTATGGTTTTCGCCAAAAAACTTTTTATTGTGTTATAGTTTCGCCCTCACCTGTGGATTGCTAATATTTTTTTTCCCTGCAGAGATCTGTGTTGGCTCCAGTTCCTCGGGGACAAGAGTGGCTGTTAACCCACAAGTTCCAGAAGCATTTCACTTGGCTGCCCGGTCAGTTCTTTATTCTTATGCCTGTTATTCGAGATTCAAAATTCCACTCCATCTGGACAATAATTCCACATGTTCAATCAAGAAAGGAACCCATCTAGCCGAGCTTATGCAAGAAGCAAAGTTGATTGTGTGGGACGAGGCCCCGATGGCGCACAGACAAGCTTTCGAGGCTCTGAATAGAACACTCTGTGATTTAATGAATGTACCTTTGGCTGGACCTGGGCATAAATTATTTGGGGGGAAAACAGTGTTGCTTGGAGGTGATTTTAGGCAGACCCTGCCAGTTATTCCTGATTCTGGGCGTGAGCAAACAATTGAATCCTCACTAACAAGATCTGAAATATGGAGTTCTTTCACTTTGTTGAGGCTGAAAAGAAACATGAGATTGAGCAATTCATCAATTAATGAGTCAACAATCAGCCATGGATTGACATTCAGAGAATGGGTGTTGGCACTTGGTGATGGAAGACTTCCAACCAAACGTTTCAAGGAGGACACTCCATCAGACTGGATTAAGATCCCAGATATGTTTTTGGTACAATCAGGAGTAGACCCAGTTGCCTCTATAGCATCAAAATTTTATGATTCATTCTCTGAAAATTACAAAAATGCTGCGTATATCACAGGCAGGGCAATTGTCACCCCCACAAATGCAAAGGTCAGTGAAGTGAATGAATTTATGTTGGAGCAGGTGCCTGGTCTGATCCGCTCTTATTATAGCTCAGATTCTATGCAACGAGATGCAGAAGTACCAGAGTCATTCGATGAAACCTACCCGATTGAATTCTTGAATAAGCTCACATTTAATGGAGTACCAGACCATGAGATCAAGCTGAAAGTTGCCACACCAATAATGCTGCTGCGTAATTTGAATCCATCAGATGGTCTCTGTAATGGGACAAGGATCATGATAACAGAGTTGGGAGAGAATATAATTAAAGGAAACATCATGGGTGGGGCTTTTGACGAGAAACCTGTGATTGTACCAAGAATTGTGTTGAATGTAGAGGACAAGAGGTGGCCATTCATTCTCAAAAGAAGACAATTTCCTGTAAGACTTTGTTATGGAATGACCATAAACAAGAGCCAAGGTCAAACTCTTGAGAAAGTGGGAGTTTATCTGCCGGATCCAGTATTTAGCCATGGTCAGTTATATGTGGCCGTTTCAAGAGTTAAATCAGCTGTTGGTCTGCAATTTCTTATCATAAACACAGGTGGTATTCCAAACAACTACACAAGAAACATTGTGTTTGCAGAAGCTTTCGAAGATATCAATACAGATCGCATGATTGCAACACAAACATAGCAGGTACATTTGCTAATAGAAAAATCTCTTTCTTTCTCAGCACACAATAGTTTTTGTTTAATTGAATTTATTTGTTTGGTTCGTGTGTATGGATGGATACTCATGAAAGAACAGCTTTTCTGCATAGTATTCCAGGATTGCTTATGTCATATACTTTTGGATGCAGCCAGCCTTCACAAATACTGAGCTTTAGACCTCCAGATTACATAGGTACAACCATCAAAGTTCTGGTGTTTGCATTAGATAAGTATAGTTTGTAGTACGGTTTAGAATGAATCACTTTTACCTCTTTCTGCAGACAAACATAGAAGTTTCGTCATGTTGGTGATCTTAGAGAAACGAAATGTGATATCCTGTAGACACAAGGGATCAACGTTGTGGAGCAAAACATTTATCTTCCTCGCCTTAGTAAGGTTGTTGTTTTGCTGCTGCAATTCTGATTTAGTTATATAGAGCTCATTCATGTAATTAAGTGATAAGTAAAGTCCTGTACATATAGTGGATGAATAGTTCCAATGGGGCTGTTTAGCCTTCTCACCTTAATGAATATGAAGTAGTTTATTTCTGCAGCAATTCTGGCTATATTATGTGAAGAACAATCATCTGGTATATGCTTAACAATTATTTGAGCCTCTGATAGCATTAATGTGGTGAAGTAAATTTCAAACAAATCAAACATATATATTTCCCCTGCATTCACCCCTGTGAAACTATGCAGAATTCTGCATGTATTATGATCAACATTTTCATTTGCTTCCAGTTAGACATATATTTATTTACTTAACAATTTATATTGTTTTAGTGATACAAAATATAAACATAATGGTAACTCACAAATTGGAACAGGTCCCAGCGCGAAGCGCGGGCTAAGAGACCTAGTATGTGTCAAGGAGCAAAGGGTATATAAAGGATGAAGGGACATTCTTCTTTTTTTATTAATTATTGAAAAGTGGAAGGAGGGAAAGAATCGTCGTCGTCTCCACTCTCCAGTTGGTGGGATGCTTTGCTTGGCTGGTGCCAGTGAAGAAGAGAAAAATGGGGAAGAAGAAGGAAGGGAAGGGATGCTTTGCTAAACCTGGAGGTCGAATCCACGGGGCACATGGTAGACAAGAAGATGTAAGTGTACATTCACGTCACATGCCCACCACCACCATTTCCACCTCCATGTGAATTACTTACTTAACCTTTTGTCTATTTCTTACCTTTCCTTTTCCCTTTTCCCACCATCCCCTCTCTTTGCCGCGGCGGATATAGGACATAGTAACTCAACAAACACGGAATCAAATATCTAAAATCAAAAAATTTGGAAGTACTATATTAAGTCTGAACTCAGACAAAGACTGGACCGTGATCCAAATTGGCCTCCTCATGGATCCGCCACTGTCTCTTTGTCCTTCATAGTTTTTACCACTTTTTTGGTGCACCCACTTTTGGCGCACCCACTTTTTTGGGTACACTCAGCGCACCCGCCTCATAATCATCATTCTGAGCATGCGATTCATGTCAAAATGGTATCAATTTTTGCTTATGATATTATGAACAATAAGCTAATGAATTTTTGCTTATATATTTCCTACGGTAACTTGAAGTAAGGTAACTTGCATTTTTTTTTACCTGCTATAGCAGGTTTCACAGGTCGTATTACGTAAAATACAATAGGCATTACATAATGGTTACGTAACATATGATAATCTTACGTAACAGTTGTAAAAGATCATTACGGAAGCCTTACGTAATAGAATGTGTGTTTACGTAATGATCATTAACCTCACGTTACGTAAAATGCTAAGTCATTACAAAAGCCTTACGTAACGCTACTGATTTAACTGTTACGTAAGAAATAATTGTCGTTCCGTAACCTTTACGTAATGGAAGGTCTTTTTACGTAATGAGTATTAACCTTGCGTTACGTAAAGTGCTAAGTCATTACGGAAGCCTTACGTAACGCTTCCGATTTAACTGTTACGTAAGAAATAATTATAATTCCGTAACCTTTACGTAGTGAATATGTATTTTAGGTAACATTTGTAAAATATCATTACGGAAGCCTTACGTAATAGAAGATTTCTTCACGTAATGAGTATTAATGTCGTGTTACGTAAAGAGCTAAGTTATTACGGAAGGCTTACGTAACGCTTCTAATTCAATAAGAATTAAAAAATGAAATGTTAAAATATGGAAAGACAACTAAATGTGAAAAAGGAAAGAAAAAAAATAGAAAAAGGTAACTTGGAATGTGGTGACCGGCAACCCATGTTGCCATTTATTTTTTTTTTTTAGTTATTTTTTATTTAATCAATGGTTCAAAATAAGTTTGGTCAATTTTAACGGTTTAGATCTATGCAAGTTACCTAACTTGAAATTATACCCAAGTTACTATAGGAGATCCCTATATACATAACTTAGCCCTAGCCGAGACCTGTAAGGAGAAGGAAGCTCGACTAACAAGCCTAATTACAAGTGTATTAATTATCATTCAACAGATATGGAAAAGACATTTGATAATGTAAACTGGGATGCTTGCTTTGAAAATGCAACATTAGATATGTGGACTTGTTTCATCCATTTCTTGTTCGTCCTTGTTAATGGTGAGGCTGCGAGATTCCTCAAGATTGAAAGTGTTTGATGTAGGGAGATCCTATGTCTCCACTCCTTTTTAGTTTGTTCATAGATGTTCCATCTAATCTATGATGTTGGTAAGATTAAGAGAAGCTGACATTGTTTCTGGTTTCTAAAGATCCTCTTGAGGCAAGGTGACGCACTTTTTTATACGGATGACACCATCATTTTCTTTCTGTGATGCCTACATCTAAGTAGCCAAAAAGTTTGGTTGATTATTGCATTTAAATGAAACTAAGATTCATGGAGGCAGCTAATGAGTTTTGAAGGATCATAAGTGCTCGAGGCCAACTATTTTTAGCCATCGGAGCACACCTCTCCACCTATAAAACTCCCAAATTAATCCTTGATCTCCTTTAAATATGCATGGTAATTGAATTCACACACCCATACTATATTCTATCTTATCTTCCAATTTACCACGTATGTCTTGAACATTGGATGGACAACTTTAAGCTACACAGATCGAGTCTCTCATCAAATATTTGTTGTTTACAAGGTGTAAAAAATAAAAAAGATCGGCTCAGCATGTTATATGCTGATTCCCAAAGAAAGAGAGCAAATTTTTATGATATGACAGTAATGTTCTCTAATTAATATCACTTGAAAACAAATCCTAAAGAAAGAACGGCAAAAGCTTCAATGCTGTCTTCGTAAACCTAGTTTACGTGTTTTGGTTTCTCTAGCAATCATTTGATTAACAGTTAAAATATTCTCTTAGTTCTGTCTTTGTGGTAAGCATGCATGATTCTAATTTCTAAGTACCCCATGGCAATGGCATGCATATAGTTTCAGCCTCAATATTTGACTTTCTACCTACCTAATCAATCATTTAGCGGATTCAAAATTATGTTTATATTTAACATGACCTCGTTAATTATTTGAAAAATGTTCCCACGCCATCCCACTTGGTAATTAAAATAGATCAGGGTCAAATTGATAATTATATCGCTGGTTTTCAATCGAAACTCCAAATTCGAATTCCAAGAACTGACTCTCATTTTCTTTTTCCTTCATCCCTCTAATAACACCTTGTAACGGGTCCTTGTGACTCTGTCAAAAAATTTGATAATTGTAATTATTGTCCAAATAAAAACGAAAATGCTTGTAATTGTTTTTTAATAAAGACAATAAAAGTTGTGGCCGCAAGGGAAGTGGCAAGAAAAAGGAATTACCTCCAACTTGGATCCACTTGTAATTTGTAGCCAATCTATCATAAGTTTATTCCCACTTGTTATACTAAGGCCACAACGGGTTGGCCGTTTTCTTCTTCTTTAACTTCCTTACTATATATTATTTTGATCATTTAGATTTGAACTTCAAACGACTCACACGTCATGTACATTCTAGAAATTCATTCGTGAGGCCTCCATTGGATCCAATTAACCAATATTGGATCCATTACGTCCAAATCGTAAACACAAGAGGAGATGTGTAGGTCATCCTATACTAAATAAGTGTCATCCTAATTGAATCCGTCCTTTTAAAGGGAATTTTTTTTCAAGCGATTGAAGACGGATTCTCATTAATGACGACACCTAGCCTAGCCAAATAGCGCTCCTTCTTCCTATCAAGTGTTGTGGAAATTGTTCACGTATACTATTTTCTTGCAATACAAGCAATCACATAAGATTAAGAAAACATACAAAGACGAGGAATTTTACAATGCTATATAGCATTGGTGCTATAGGTTTTTGCCTTTATGGTACAACTTGAAGTTGTACCTTTAACGTTATGGTACAACTTCATATTATACCTATACTATTTTGTACAAATTCTTTTATGGTACAACTTGAACTTGTACCATAACATAAGGGTACAAATTTCTTTATTGTACAACATGAAATCATACATTTAACGTTATGGTACAACTTTAAGTTGTACATTAAAGCACCAATGCTTTATAGCATAGTGGAAGTGCTCTGCAAAGACACATGCAAGCGTACTGGCCGATAGAATTCACTATCTCTCCTTAAATAATCTTATTCCCCTATAGTACCCAAAGTTATGGAATGATTCCTCCCAGGATAGAAAGGAAGTACATTTTCCGGCGTAGCGGTACCTCAAACCCCGGAACCCATCGAACGCAGCAAACCAGCGAGAATCACACTTGACTCGATTTCTCTTTTACAAGAATACAGAAAACTAGTTTTGGATTTTAGCAGAGTTTTGGTACCGGAAAAGCGTATATTTCTCATCATCAAAACTAGAGGGGGGGGGGTATGGTGCTATTTGTAGAAAATGAAGGGGTGCGTACGAAGGGAGGCAACTCTTCATATAGGTGGTTACACCCCAACCAACACATTGGTTCATTTAAAAATAATGAACCATTGGATCGGTTCGGCCCATGAAAGTTTGACCGGTTTGGTTATTCCAACCGC